TTTCTATCTGGGTATGCCAGTTACGTGATTCTTCCATGAAAGGAAGCAGAAAGGACATTAAGGGTCTTGTGCAACAGCTCTTCTCTTTTGGCCATTGTACTTGCTAAGGATGTAATCTTTTAGCTTATAAACATTGGTTTTAATCACATACATTCTTTGTTATTTACAAGGGAGTTTGTATACTACTAAAATAACTTGTAAAAGGTTACAGTTCCTGCAACTTCGTGAAAAAATAAAATGTTTAGCATTTTCTCAGAGAAGTAGAACTTCTTATTTTTTTCATTCTATCACAGGAGAAGGAGGTTTTTTGTCACTTAACTACAGAATTTAGTTGCTCTGATGCTGCTCCTTGCCCATCCTTACTTCATGATGAGTGTAATATGAAGAAGGAAATCTCTTGGGTTTTGCAATCAAGTTTCCAGACTGCTCCACTGTAGGAGAAAATTGGAACACCTTCCAGAACAGTGCTGTGAAATAGGAGGTGATAACCTCTATTCAGGTGCTTTGAGTAATGTTTTATTCGGGCTACTGAAAAAATAATTTGTAACATTCAGACTGTTAATATGTTCAGTATGTTCTTGCAAAATATTTAGGTTTGCATATACCATATTTATTCAAAGGATGCACTTTTTGCAACAAAATTCTTCTCCTAAATTCAGTGTCATTACTTGGGTTGCAGCAGCACAAGTGGCACAATTAGAAGTGTTGCTGCAACTTGCTGCCAGTCTCAGCTTTAAGTTTATTCTTTAAGTGTATTCTTTCCTGACTCTTTTTTTATGCTGCTATGCTTTAGTGTGTTATAATTTCGAACAGTGTTAGATACTCTCCATGATGATTTCTCTTTTTGAAGATTCTACAGACCAGTCATAGCTCTTGGTGCAGATAAAATAAAAGCACAATTTTGCCCTATTTCAGATGCTTTTCCCTCTGTTTAGGTACGCAGGTAGTTCTTAAAAACAGTCTTTCCATACCTATCTGTACTTAAGAACACTAAACAAATAAAAATGCTGTTACATCAACTTCAAAATATTAGAATTTCTCTTCTCTTCCAGTGGAGTCATAGAGTAGGCTTTTCACAATAACACCTATCAGGTTAAATTATATGTAATAAAATTTATTTTTTTAACAAATAAAATCATGTTTTAAAAGCATATGCCATAAATGTCTTTAAAAACTCTTTTATATAGCTGCAAAGAAAAAAATTCCATGTGTACAGATTTAAACAGTTAACTTACACTACTGTGCTCAGTTTTTAGTTTAATGCATGGAAAGAGAGTGCTTTTTCTAAGCTAGAAAATGACAAATGAACAGGACACATTCTTCTGAAGCCAAGGGAAAAAAGTAATCCTCTTTCTGGAACTGGAGAATTCTTGATGTATAATGTCCCTTTTTTCCCAGTAAAACTCTGTGAGGCAGTGAGAGATCTTGGAGATGGAGGGTCTAAGTTGGTAAAAGCCTGAAATTGTTGCACTCCTATCTTCTTCAATGGTTCTTTCGTTTGCATGGGACTCTTACAGATGTAAGTGGACTTGCTTCCTGTGGTTAGTGTATAAACAGCACATATGCATATGTTCTGAGTCACTTAGACAAGCTGCAACCACATCCTCTCTGTTGAGAATATCAAGGCAGGGGGATTCATGTTCAGCTGTTAGCTGCCATGTGCTATGCACATTTTTGTTTAATTCCACAGCCTCACATGGTGCTTGCTAGCACCAGAATTCAGCAAGAATTTCTTCTATGTTCATTTCGCCTTTCAGCCTTCACCTTACTCCTTCTCAAAAAACCAAAACAAACCTGTAATATGTTTGCTTTATCGTATTGGCACTGCTGTGTTCTTTGCATAAACTGTCAATTCTATTTGAAGTGGATGTTAAGGCCTACAGATAATTCTGGTGTCTCATTTTGTGGCTTTCTTTACAGAAAAATTAAAGCTTTTTGTTGTGTGCCATTTTGTACAGGCTCTTGAATGTGATTTCACAGCTGTTAATACTTTGTTTAATACTTGGGATGAGATTTACCAACTTATTAATTTTAATTATAGAAAACACATTTTTGACTGAGTTATCTTTGGGCCTTTGTAAAAGCTGTGGGGTTTTTTTTGGTACCTCATTTTGCTCCTTGTGTTTCAGATTTGCTAATGGTTTTGAAAGTTTATGAGTTTTGTTGGAATCATATTTTTGTCAAGTGTTTTCTTTAAATCATAGCTATTGTATCATTTACATCTAGTTTTAAATGTATTATATCTGTAACCAAATCATTTGAAGGCTTGATAAATTTTTAATGAAATTTGTACATTTTTTATGAGAGTTACTAGTAATGCTTTACTAGCTAGTGCAATGGATTTTTATTTTTAATTCCTGTGCCCAGTTTTGCAGTTGAGAGAGTTGTTCAGTAATAAATGTATGATGTACACTTACACAATTTTGTCCTGTTCTTCTTCTCAGAAAGAGGTGCATTGTTTACTTTCATTCATTACTTTGCAGATTTCTGTGCATGATCCTGCAACTTTAGATATTGGCAACAGACACTTGTTTTGTAGGGGGAACTTTTGCCATTTGAATTGTAGGTTATGACAGACTTTTTAATATACTTTGAGAGATCACAGGAAAATTATAGGAAAAGTTGTGTCATATATTTGAAAGTGTAAAATAACTCAGAGCCTTGCCTAGAAGATCAGCTTTCTAAAGATGTTAATTAGAGGAAAATTTGTAGGGATGAAGGTTGCACTGTGTGTCAGCTGAAGATGTGTTAACAGTGCCCTAACAGTGGTAAAAAAACGCATCCTGAGTTAAGGATGAAATTGTAAGGAGTTTGATTAGCCAGCGTCACACAAGAACCTGGTGGTGAAACAAAAAAGAGGGGGTTTGTTGTTTGTTGGGTTTTTTTTAAATGAGATGATGTAAACTTAAGTTGACAGATGTAATTATTAAAGGTTTTCATTTACACAGGGCATTTAATAGCCTCATCAGTAGCAGGTATTCTTGGTACTCAAACATATTTGAAGATTCACTGGTGCTTTGAAAATCCTTATGCAATGATTCATATACATGTTTTTTGGATGTCCTGGATAACTATTTGTTTGCCCTCTTTAATACAGCAGATGTTAATTGTTAGTTACAGTGTTGAAAATGGACAGTGTTGCCAGTAATACTTGCAAAGCTGAAGGACTGGACTGTGTAGCTTCCGTGATGATAGGGTAACATAGAAGCAGAATTATTAAAATCACATCCAGCAATTTCAATATACAATTACAAACATAGACATTTGAGTGATTATTTGTATTTATAGCAATGTCATCCATGAGTGTAAAATTGCAAGAAGTTCTTATACAAGCACCCCCTTTTTTAATATATACAAGTACAGTTTCTAAAGTTTCATCAAGATGTATTTCAAAGTGACAAACATTTTGTTCGATGTCAGACAAATGTCTTGTGCCTTTGTGGTATTGATTTCACAAATAAATCCTTGTTCTCATGTGATGCAGGGACCAACATGAACAGTTTGCCATTTATTCCCATTTTCTTGGACCCATACACTGTGCTCTATTGGATATAGTTCCATGGTGATTCAATCCCAGAGCAAGGATTGGGTATACGGTATACATCATAATATTGTGTATCGTTAAGACAAAAGCGGTGCATTTACTCTTAGTGGGATCATAAGTGAAATTAATAATGATTGAAATTTCTTCTCAAATTCAATTCCATTGTCCCATATTATTTTCAGAATTTCAGTAGGTAAGGTGTCTTCACATTCCCTTACAATTGTGGCTGCCGTGGATTGCAACCACCGTTGCTTGGATGCAATTAAAAGCCAAAGAAACATTGTTTTGGGTTGCATCAAGTGCATCTGTGATCAACTGATGGTCCTTTTCACCAGTTTTCTCCCACTGAGATAATATGTTTGGCAAAAGCTATTGCTTGGTTCTCAAAGCTAAGAGAGAAGATTGTTGAGGATGTTTCAACTTGTTTAGATCACTGGTTGTTGTGACCAGTTCATTTGTGAGTACTTAAGCATCTATGCTGTTTTAAGACTCCTATTCCTAAGATTCCAGTCACATCTCTCTTGGATTGTCTCAAGAAGGTGAGGGTTCGTCCACACAACCATGCTGGCCATCTTGCATAAGATGTGTTCAGGAATGATGAGCAGGTAGGTTTGATCACAGAAATACTGGTCTGCATTGATAGTTTCACCCATTTAAGAGAATAAGATGAATTGAGCAGTACTTGTTGACCTGTATTTTTAATTATATAAAGACCGGTGTTAAAGAGGTAAGGAGTTAAGCTAGAAAGGGCCAGGTGGATGCATTTTCAAAAGTCAGTGGGGGCAGAAGTTTTTTGTTATTCACAATTGGCACAGATGTCACTGTGTCAATCATGAACTCAAACAGTAATTTAGTGCTTCTGTAACACCAGAGACAGTACACAACTATGGGCTTGTAAAAATAAAGGTATACCAGCAATCTAAATTTGGTTCTGTTATTTTACAGTATTCAGTATTATAATTTTCTGATCTGGTAGAGTCAGCATGGATTTTTTTCATTTCAGTTGGCCTATGGTAGGTAGACCCATTGATCACTTGATAGCTGATTTGCATTTTCTTTCCTGGAATGACTTGGAGTTTAGCCATCTGATAAGAGTTTTTCCAATTCCATTCATCTGTAGAGTATACCCTGCTTCCTTATATATACAGGTGGAGAGATTTAAATGCCTTTTGTGGTGTTCCAATGTGTGCAGTGTATCTTGACATTGCATGGTTCCAGGGGTCATTATCATCACAATCCATTGATAGGTTTAACAGTGCTGTTAGCCTGAGGATGGTAGGGAATGTGGAATACCCACCAAATTCCTTCGTCTTTGGCCCAGTCTTGTACTTATAGCTGTAAAGTGTGAGGCGTTACCACTTAGAATTTCTTCTAGGAGGGAAAGTGTGCTGAACCA